GAGCTCCCTCCATATTGACAAAGTCCAAAGTACCCAAAAACTCTTGGACTCTGCCCATGTCAGGCTTAGTTGTTCACCTCTGAAAATCATCTCTTGTAGCAAGACAGGACCCTCTCCGTTTGACTGCCCTTTGCAGCAGCATATAGTGGTATGGTTTTGGTGATCGTATTTTATCTGGTATAATTCCTTCTAGAGAGGCATGTGTATCTGTTTTAGATTAAAATCTTAAGGTAAGTATCTGGTGACCTAAAAGATCCTCTCCAGAAAGAGAAATGGATGTTCCACTTGGGAGGGGAAAAAAAAGCACTCCTTAATCATTTCTTAATCCACTCAGAACAAACTGGCTAAGCCCTCAACCGATACTCATCCCAGAGTGGCCCTTAAAAGCCAAGATGCATCCCTAAAGAAGTAAACCGCTATCAGTTGGATCCATTTATATTCCATCAAAAGATGTAGTTAAGGATCCCCTGTAACCAGGCAGAAACACATCTTTCCTATATTAACTTTCCTATATTTCCTCCATCACTGTATGCTTTAAGGAGCCTTTATATTCACCACATCATGTTGTTGAGGAAGCCTGTACTACATAGGGCTCATAAAATGTTGACAAGCCTCTTCTCTGTCCTCCAGCACACAGGGTCTTCTGCACTTGGGCCTGTTCCCATATCCTCTCTGTGTTTGACTCTTGGCTTTAAAGAAAAAAGTCCTAAATAAACTGCAGCACTCCTCTGAGGTGCCAAGGAAGTCCTTAACTTCATGAATATTTTCCACATTCCTGATCTGTATGTTACAGTTTGGAAAGTACTGTGTAGACTTACCCAACAGCATTTAAACATGGGCTTATCCAAGTCTCTCATAGTTCACCAAGTTATATCCCAGGGCAGCACGCCACCCAGCCCATTCCAAGCCTATCTTACATAACTTAATTTTTCCAAAGTGTCAGAGCTTATGTTTTCATGCAGTGTACTCTGTTTGTAATGTGGTTGCAATCACATTAGCAAATACAGTTTCTAAAACCTTTGTGAGGTAGCTATGTCACTGTAGCTCATAACTACGGTGAGGTAGCATCTCATGTCGATGCGCCCACTGATGACTGCTCGTGTAGACGTGCCACTGATGACTGAACCCCACCTGTCCTGAAAGCAGAGCCCCCAGCAGCCATTCAAGCATCCCCACGCTTCCATTCCAACACAGGAATCAGCTTCTTAGCTTTAACAGGCACCCAAGTTTTCAATTTATGGGGAAAAGTCAGGTTTGTATGCAAGTGAATATGGTATTATTTCCGCATTGCTCATGGACTTTGGGACAGGACAGTTTCCAAAAAGGAAACTTGTTATGTTTTCCTTTGGGAGACCTCCAATCCTAAATTTTTCTCATTCAGCATAATTCCTTTTGATGCTTCTTTCCTGGCCACTTTCTGCTCCATGCATATATGCATATAATACATTTGTATAGGCTGCTAAATGTTTTTTTCCTAATTTAATCCTCCAGTTCACCTTTGGAAGTGTTGACATGGACCAGTGGATGGGGTGTGACCTAGCCCCAGAACTCTTTTAGACAAATCTGATCTGCCTCTGGTTAAATTCTGAAAGAGAAGCACAGTTCAAATGTCACAGGCAGGATAAGAGGTCACTTCCAAAAGTGAGATCAAGTGACTGATTTTCCATTGCCTACAGCTGTCCAGTACAGCATGACAGATACAATCTACCCATGAATCTGGACCTTGCTTTTAGCAGAGCTCAGAATGATCATGAACCTTAGGACAAAATCAGGCCCATTTTTGAGCCAGGAACATATTTTTTAATACAAAACAATACTTCATAAAAACAAACTTGTTTGTTGGTTAGTCATAGTGGAAAGAGAGATGGGTGGGAAGTGCATAGATACCATGATGATAGGGCTGAAGAAGAATCTATTTAATCAATCAAACAAATCTCTTAGTTTTAGGGAAGTGGGGATGAAGGTTAGTGTGGAAGTGGTTATTATTGGAGATCATTCAAGAGTCTGTATTGTCTTCACCCTAAACAGTATAGAGTCAGAAAGAAAAGGGCATTTAAGTACCTCTGTTGTTAATCTTTCCATTGTCATAGACTCATAGAAAATTGGGGTTGGAAGGGACTTCAGGAGGTCATCTAGTCTACCCCTCTGCTCAAAACAGGACTGTCCCCAACTAGATCATCCCATCCAAGGCTTTGAAACTTCTTAGAAGTTTTAACTTGGAAGTTATATCTTAAGTTATAAGTTCTTGGAAGTTTTAAAGACAGGGTTTCCTTGGAAGTATATGCAGATAGCATATAATTTTTGATTGCTCATTATGATGGTTATTAAGTATCTTGAAGTATAGTCTTTCATTTTATTTCTCGTGGTTATCAGTATGAAACATTCTCTTTGTAAAATGCATGCTGTCCCAAGGCTAGCTTCATTTCGGCACAAAATTCCTTGCAAGAATCTACAAACTCTCTTCTTCAAAAGATTCTTTTTTCAGTTGATTTTCATGGTACAGTACTTCCTAAGCAATTCAATTAAACACAGTAATGGGGATATAACATCTCTCTCTTTTAGGTTAATGTAAAAGATACCCTAAACATATAATCTCATAGCAATTTCAAGTACCTTGATATGTCCATAATTTTGATTAAATGCCAAGGACAATTATCTTCCCTAGCAATGTTATATTGTTAAGTGTATACAACAGTAGTGGTTTGGCAGTTCAGAAGGAGGGGTGGAGAGTAAGCAGTGCTTTCATTGATTGTAAATCACAACTGATCAAATGTCAGTTTTTCAGTGATGGATGACACTGGGTAATAGATGTAACTCAGTGCTTGGCTCATTGCGGGAGCTATGATTCCTATGGACCAGCCCAATGAGACGAGGGAGTTAACTGACTGCACCCTTTGCATAGCTACAAACTCTGATCCTATGTGCAGCTAGGGCAGGTAGGGGTGCAGTCCTGTCTTCTCCCATATACACCTTGTTATGGGAATAGCTTGTGCCCAAGGTGAGATAAGGTACTGCTTTCTCCATTCTATGAAATTTGGGGTAGAGTGATGCTTGCCTTGCCAGTTCCTGGCACAAGTAGTTTAAGGTGTCCACTCTGTTCACGTACAGTATTCCCCCATGTTTCTGCATTCAGTGAACAATATTTCTGAAATCTTTCTCCCTTCATTAAATAAGTGACTATTTATTAAAGGTAATTGTGGTGAATTGATCAGCATAATAAGATATAAGTATTACAGAGAAAATTAGAAACCCTTTTCCTCCCATCACGTCCTCCCAACAAATATAAAAAGAGGTAAGAATTTTACAATAACATAGCAGCCATTCAATAACAGGATGGAGCAAGAAAGAAATTAATCAGTGGAGTGAAATTTTTCACTTGTGGAACTGATCTCAAGAGGGCCAGGCTGCTCTTGACAGGTTTTAGAATGCCATTAAAATCAATGGGACTCAAAGATACTCTGAATTTCGCTGGGTTGGGCCCTTAGAGAATAGAGCTCATGCAATTGTATTGATAGTTAATTAAAATAGCTTATGAGTTCTATTCCCCAGCCCTCTTTTATTCTTCCTTCTCCCTGTCCAAAAAAAAATCTTGCAGCTGGAATCATAATAAACTCCACTTTATGTTGGAGCAAATGGGAAAAAATACAGCAACATTTCTACTTTGGAGCACCATCAGCAGTTCTAACCTATCAAATTTGGCTGAATGGTTTTTGTAACCCTGTACTGTCAAGTTTTTTATGGCTTTCCCATACTTTTTTGAAGTTATTTTTTTCTTTTTTTGTGAGACGCTGGAATATTTTTTGCACTGCTGCATGACAATTAGTTTGGCAGGACAAGATCATTTTAGTTTCAGAACAAGTCTGATTTAAAATGCAGAGCAAGAGTGATTCTAATGTGTGGGCTTTTTGGGGGGTGTTTTTTTTTAAGAAAGAAAAACAGCTTATCCTGTCAAAGTTATTTCTGAAAGACTAATTTGACCGTTACTACCCGTTATTTACCCGTGTCCTTGAAATTAATGTAACACTCCTGTATTTGCATTTTGCAAATTTATAATAATACGCATTTTAAAAGCCCAGCCTTTAGACTTAGCACCCACTGACATTAATTGGAGTTTCACACAAATAACATTTGCAGGACTGAAAACCCTTAAAATTATTTTTATGCCCAAAAAATATGTTTGTTCATTACAGAAATTACAAGGGCATAAGTCTTGTGGGTTTATAGCCATTTAAATCTTTTTATACACTCAGTTATGCCTCACTTAAATATATTGCTGAATATTTTTTGCAGTGTATTTTAATGACATCTGTTTTCCCATGTACAAACTGTGCTTTGAAATATAAATTAGGATAGAACAAAGAAGTATCATTCTGTGCACTGTGTGTGCATAAGGCCATAAAAGATGGTTGTCAGTAAATAGATACACCCACTTTTAGTATGTTTTTAATGGTGGGTTTCTAGAGATGGCTAATTCAATTGTATTTTTGTGCAATGATCAGGAGGGAATTTCGATAGTTCTTTCGACGCAGAGAAGGGAGTGGGCACTATTGTCATTGCAAAGCCCTTGGATGCAGAGCAGAGGTCAATATATAACATGACTGTGGAGGTCACCGATGGAACAAACATTGCAACAACTCAGGTAGAAATCTAATTGTTTATCTGCAAGTTTTTCATTTGATCATGGAATGTATGCACTTTTAAAAGACTAAGTGTATTATCACTAGTTAAATAAGTTGGGATTTTGGGGTAGAGTTTTAAGCAACTTCCCAGCTGTTTGCATAACTACTAGAAGTACTCATCTTTCCCATCTTAGAACAGCTGTCCATCCTGGGACTGAAAGAGTTCATATCAGATTGGAGCTAGGCTTTGTCAACAGCAGAAAGATTTGCATTATAATGTAATGTTCCAAAGGGCTTTATCTTACAGTAGTGATTCTGTAGTGCTTGGGGATATTACTGCAAATTACTGTGGCTTTTTCATGTGCCATTCTCACTTGCTAAGGCACGAAGTGTCAAGGAATATGTGGAGCAAAGACCCATCCAAAATTATTCAGGCAGGAAACTTAAAATGCTTCTGTGAGCCTTCTTTTCATGTCAGTGACTTTCTAGAACCACAGTTCTCGAGTTCTTTTTTTCTGATTAAAATTACTTTCAACAGCAAGAGAGGAGACAAAATAGATAATTTTGTGATTAAAATGAGCACAAGAATGCAAAGAACCTGTATACAGCCTCATATTCGATTTTTAATTCAGAGTAAAGGTGACCTGCAGAGGAAATGAAAAATTAGGTTTGTGACAGTATTTGCTTTTATATTCTTTTAAAAAGATGCCCTTGAAAGGATTTTTTTTTTCTTCAGTTTTTACCCTTCCATTTTTTTACCTCACAGATATCAGAAATAGCTGATTTGAATTGGGTGAACAGATATGGACGCATGCTCAGAGTGATAAATTAAAGGCCAGCTATTTGCTCATTTGACCTCCCATGCAACCCAGACTCTTGTGGAAACTTAGTGACCATGTCTACATGTTGCTGTTAATGCTATAAAATGTTGTCAATGCTGCATAGTAAAATACTGCATAGTAGGCCTTCCCTGGGAGCACATCTTCATGCGCTCCCTGTTAGGAGCAAGTCTTCTCCCAACCGGAGCAGCCAGAACAGGCCTCCTACCCTGCTCTGCCCCCCGGAGCTGCCAGGGGTGCTCCAGGGTCCCCCAGGGTACCAGCCTGGGGGCTGGCCAGGAACATGGGGCTGGTCCTGATGGGCACAGGGCCAGGACAGCTCTACCAGCTGCAACAAAAACTGTCTCCTGGTCCCCTGCACATTGGGAGGGGTGTCCCAGAAGTGTCACAGCTCCTGAGCAGCCCCCAGTTGCTCAAGGATTTCTCCAGCCAGCCCCAGTCTGCTTGAGGATTTCCCCACCCAGGCAGAGGCTGGCTGAGAGCTGCCCCACAAACAGGACAGCTCCCAGCCAGCACTCGGCTGGGTGGGGAAGCAGAGAGCTCCCCAGTCCTGACACTGCTTGGCTCCCAGCTCCTGTGGGGAACTGGGAGCCAAGTAGCACTGGGACAATGGGGGGCCGAGATCTACCTCATCCTGGCACCACTCAGTTTAGTAGCACCAGGACTGTGGGAGTTCCCCACCCCTGTAGCCCCCTGGCATTGTGGCTGACTGGGAGCAAATTTGCTCCGGGTCAGCATCTACACATACGCACCTGTATTTACAGGTAGTAGCTAACTGCACAGTAGACTAATTACTGTGCAGTAAATTGTGTGTACATGTAGATGGTGATGCTTTACAGTGCAGTAGATTAGTCTACTGTGGAATAAAGCGTCTCATGTAGACATGCCCAGTGAACCCTAGCTGACTCCTGAATTGACCCAGTAACTTGTACTTGATGAACACATAACTTCTGCTGGGCCAATATCTTCTAAGACGGCATCTGGTTTTGTTAGGAAGACAAGGAGAGAAGAATCCACCATTCCATTTGGCACTTGGTTCCAGTAGCTAATCACTTCTCTGTTAAGGCATATGCCTTATTTTTAATTTTAACTTGTCTGGCTTCAGCTTTCAGCCACTGGTTCCTGTTAAGCTTTTCTCTGCCAGATTAAAGAGCTCTTCTCCCCAGGAAGGTACTTATACACTGTAATCAGATCTCTTCTCAATCTTCTGTTTGATAAGATAAACAGACTGAGCTCTTCAAGTCTCTCACTGTAAGGCATTTTCTCAGGCTTTGAGGATTTTTCTAATTTGGAAGCATTTTCAGCCTTTTTTTTTTTTAATGTGGGTGTTAAATTCGTAGGAAAGACATTTTCTCTCTCATGCTTGAGTTAAACAGTTGTTAACAAAACAGAAAGAGAATTTTAAGCACGCTAAGTTAAAAATCATTTCCACTCTCAAGTTAATCATGTTTCATGTACTTGTTACTTAATGATTTAATAATCTTACCAGTGTGCCAGTTTTCAAAGCCTTTCATGATTAACCAGACCTACATTTCTAATTTAAGAACAGAATAGGAACTTTTAAAAACAAGTGGAAAAGTCCTTGCATTCTAAAGAAAGCCAGGCATGTCTTTATAACAATAAGGTTACTTCTGGATGACAGCAAGACCAAATCTACTTATTAAAGTAAGTGTAGTAGTATATATTATTATAAGTATATTATTGTACATTACTGTATATAATATATATTATTACAGATTAAGTATATTACTAAAAGACAGAAATACTTTCCTCCCCACTTTTTCAGGTCACTTTTTAATGACTTTGTGGGATCCAAATAACATATAGGAACTTGGTCCTGATTGCTACTGTGATCCTTGTCTCACATCTTCATAAATTATGAGCTGTGTAATTAACTCATCTCAATTGCAGTACTTCCATTCTGTATTTTATGAATTATCTCAAGGTTTCTGTGCCAGTTAAACAGAACCATTTGATATAAGCTTGTAGTTACCATTTGGAGAATGTATATTTTAATGTAAATTGGTCATCACTTTCCCCCAACCCTGAATATATCCATAATCTTCCCAGGCCAGACTTGATCATATTAAGTATCTCTTGTGATCGTTAATACAGGGTCTGGGATTCAATTTTTATATTAAATAAACAGTTCATTGTAAAAGTGCCTGATAAATAACCAAAGCAACACAAACTTGTCAACAATTAGACATGTACTTTATGACCAATGAATAACACTTGTAGTTGCTGTCCACTTCACTCTATGATTCAACAGGAAGGTTGGTTTAGTGGTTGGAGTACTAATCTCTGGGTGAGCTTGATTAAGTTCCTGCTCTGTGACAGTTTTTCTGTGTGGCCTTGAGCTCATTTTTTCTGTGCCACTGTTTTTCATGTGTCAAATAGGTCTGTGAGCAATTCCTTGACTCAGTTAAAGGCCTGTGAAGTGTCTGGTGTGGGAATGAAGGGGAAAGAGGGTATTTAAGGCATAAATATAATTTCAGGTGATTTAAACATAATCTACATGCTCACTAGTTCTGGTTTTCACTTATGAAAACAGGAATTAATAAAGATTGTTTTTCTCTGTATGTGTAAGGATCTCCGTGATGAGCATTTAGAATATGGTAATACAAAATAATGTCCCATATATACCCACATTCTTACACATGATGTTATTTAGGTATTTGATCTGATTACAAAGTTCAAATTTTACAATATAAAATGCTAAAAAGAAAACATTCAGAGAGCTGTCGTTACTCACTTTTGTTTACTTAAAATAATAAAGCCCATAGGTTAATCAAAAATGTGTCATTCAGATTGTCACTAAAGCCGCTCTGTGACCTCGTTCTGAGTTCCTGTATTTGCATAATGCAAATGTTGTCTTAGTCATAGCAGCGCCTACAGTTTTAGTTTTACTTGAAAAAAGATATTCCAGAAAAAGTAGTAGATTATCTATGAATCTGACCTCTTAATCTGAAGAATAAAAACCTCCAAAAACTTTGGTTTTCTACAGCATGGTTGATCTTCATCATGCCAAATGGAACCTTATTTCTTTTTATTCCATTGCACTTGTTTTTTCCTTTATATGCTTTGGACATTTTGCTCATTACTTAGAGATGGTGGAAGGCAGCACAAAAAATCAGTGATATGATCAGGTGTGAAAACTGTATAGATGCTTTTCTTTCTTCAGTGGTATTCCTGCACTTGTATAGAATTTTTACAAATTTCCTTCACCTCTTGCCTATACACTGCTGTATGGAAAATCCCATCATGATTTAAAGTTTACATGTGTTTTATGTTCTAGATTACTTTTGATGAGGATGCAAGAACGAATTTAAGAGTCATATGACCCTAAAACTTTCCCCCTAAAATTGGGGCTAGGAGTGGGAAATCCCAGGTTGAAAACTTATTATGGAGACCGTGTAAAGGCAGCACTGGTGCTAATCTGCTGTCCCCATTCATCATGTTACCCCTTCAGCCCAACAGCAGCTAGCCATGTTTTATGCCAGTAGAGATCTCTCTCAGTGTGGTCTTGCTATTATCCAACCACACGAGATGATGAGGGAAGGTGGAAGGAATGTTGATTCATTTGATTTATTATTGGTGTGTAAGTATGGAGGTACCTGTCAGATTGATTAACTTCTGGTGAAAGTTCAGCCAGAAATAAGCCAATGGAGGTTTTTTGTTTTTCTCAGCTTAATTCATCATTGCTCAGGGCCATGTGATAATTTACAAGAGACTGAAGTTGTATGCCATCTCTAAATTCATGAAAAATGGTATTCTTGCAGGTGTTGGCCTGGTCATTAGTCCTTGGGAGGCTTCTTCTTCCTCACACCACAATGAAACCATGAAGCCATTCTTGTGCTCTGACCCTTGGACTCTACTCTAGCGACAGGACATAAGATTTATTCTTGATGATGAAGCATATATTGTCCTCAACTTGAACAGAGAAAAGGGCTCTTTTTGGCAGGAAATTGATTTAATGGTACCAGTTCTCTGACTTTCTCCCCAGTGTTGACCCTTCTTGATTAAGTAACACCAGGGACTGCATAACCACTAGTCAGATACACAGGGTAGCAAATCTATCCTTTATGTCTAGAACAACTCTTTAAGATCCTGAACTCCATTTATGTTTTAGAATTAATATGTCTTTATTAGGAGTACTTACTAACAGCTATTTATCTCTG